TGGCCCTGCAGCTGCGCTGGTGGTCTGGAGCTGCCAGAGCCTCCTGGAGCTCCACGGCTCCTGGCATGGCCTGGCTGAGCAACAGGAGAGGGATGGCACTGGCACAGGGCACGGCCTGCACCACATCAAGACCACACGGGAAACCCACAAGGAACCTTGGCAACGTGCTCCACAGCTGGCACAGGGGTGGCCTTGCTGTCCCCCAATGCCACTCCCCTTATTTCCCCAGGTCCCCCTGTCCCCTATGGGTCAGAGTCCCCCAGCAAACCCCTTTTCATTCCCACCCTCCATGCACTGTGATGTCTTTTGGGGAGACAGGGCACCCCAACCCCTCCTCGGAGGGTCCCTGCCCACAGCACGCACACGCAGACACCCAGGAGCTGGGGGGGTTTCTAGGCAAATCTTTATGTTGCTGGGGGGCAGGGGGCTGAGTTTCGGGGGGCTGCGACTCCGTAGCTCCGGGAACCAGCGGAAGCTTCCCCTGTGTTCAAAAGGCACCAATTTCAGTTTGCGTTTCGGTTACAGCTGGTACAACAGCAAAACCCAGGACGTGAGAACGTGCAGGTCAGGCTCCTGCCCCCAGCTCCCCCATTACCCCCTACCACAGCCCCCAGCTTTACACAGGGACAGCACCACCCGTCCCTGCCACCCTGCCCCACTGCAAGGGGTGGCTTCCACACCGTTAAAATCTGCTGGCCACCGGAGAGCACTTCACCCAAAAGGGGAACAGCCACAGCCTTGCCCCAGATTACCAGATGAATCCCTGGCCCAATTCAATGGGGCCATGGCCTCCAGGCCAGGAATTTGTATGGAGAGAGGACAGCGGGAAGGGCGCAGGCACGAATCCACCTCCCAGCTTTGCTTCATCACGGGCACAGCTCCGAAACCAGTTCTGGCCTCTGGCCGAAGGGAGGAAGAAGAGGAAGGGGATGATGGCCACAGTCCCTCACCCCTCTACCAGCAGAGCCCCCTGCCCCTGGTGAGCACAGGAGTCTCTATGTACATGTCTACTCACACCGGGCAGAGGGGGATGCGTGTCTGGGGACAGGGTAGGAGCCACGGGGAGGGGACAGCAGCCCAGGGCCATCACATGGCTGCCAGCTGGCCCAGCACCATCCTGAACTGCTGCGTGCTGTTGGTGAGGTCCTTCACGCGGTCTATCATGTCCTTAGAGGCGGCGGGAGAAGGGTAGTGGAGGGCGGCCGCCTTGGTGGTCACCACGATCTCCTTGAGCATCTCGCAGAGGAGGTTGCTGTAGTGCATCACCTTGTGCTGGACGTCCTGGGCCTTGGCCTTGCGGGACAGCGTGTCCCCGATGAAGACGAGCTTGTGGGCGCTGAGGATGACGAACTTGCTGTGGGCCACGAAGATCTTGGGGGGTTGGTTGGTGCTGACGGCGGTGAAGAAGGCGTCGACAGCGTTGGTGAGTGTGGTGAGGTTGGCCTCGCACTGCTCCAGGTAGAAGAGGAGGAGCTGGCGGTCGGCGGGACACAGGGCGCTGCTACAGGGCGCTGCTGCCCCGCGCCGGGCCGTAGTGCTGGGGGGGGCTCCAGTTGGACAGGTCGTTGTCGATGGGGCGCGTCACCTCCTGCTCCAGCCGCTCAAACTGCTTCAGCTGCGGGAGAGATGGGTGTGAGGCAGGATGGCCATCGAGCTTCCGCTCCCTGGAGCCACCCACACAGGTGGCCACG